GCTATAAAACCTGCACCTTCACTTACGAATTAACTTTGAGGATAATGAACAAGTTATAGAGGACAGGGATTGGCTCTCCATCTCTTAAATTTGATAATACACACTGGATGCCTTTTCACTGCATTTAATCAATTAGAAACTACCAGACTTGGTATAGTGTAACTGTGAGATGCTAGAGGCTGTATTATGCCAGTTGGGAGCAGAATTTGGAGATCTCTATATTTTTAAACTGTGTTTCTGAAATAATTGTAAAATAATAATTACCATTTTAGTACCTTCCTAATTCAGAGTCATGCTAGTAGGGGAATAACCATTTTACTGCTACTTGCCAACAGAGTCCCAACCAGAGAGGTGCTCTGTACACTGAAATCATCAGTCTAAAGGAAGATGGTGAACACAACACTGGGAGTGGGAGTGAATGAGTATGTGAGAGAATCAGGTAGGTTAAGAGCTCTCATTGGTTCTTAAAAAACCCCCAGTATTGAGATCCACTATAAGTTGTTTACTCTTGTCTTGCCCACGACAAGCCAATTGTTAATTGCAGTTACAAGTATGCATCACTAGGAAAATAGTGAACCAGAAACCCTTCCACGTAATCCAAACAGACAAGACAGAGTATGAAATAGCAGTCCAAAAAAGTGATCTTATTTTCCTGAGGTTACACGGCAACACAGTGAAACACGTAAGACTATCACCAAGTGTAATTTTTAAGTTCTCCCAAATTAAGCAATTAAAACAAATCTGAGAATTACTTTTGAAAATCTTCGCCATAAAGCTGCAAGCTACTCTGTGAGATACTTCCAGGTAAGAGAGGACAAACTCTACAGAGCTCTTCAGGGAGAGAAGTCTCCAAGACTCAAGAGGTGTCTGCATTCTGTACTGTAAACTGTGGTTAAACACACCATTTTGTGACCTCCCAAAAGAGGAGGAAAAACAGAAAATAAAACAGAAAGCAATCCTTGCAGTTGCACAATTGTGGAAAACTAAATACTCTATTTTTAGGCATGCAAAAAAAAAATCAGTCCTCAGATTGGTGAGTATGAGGGAGGTGCTGCCAGCAAATACAGCCTTTGCCTGTGTCTGCCATCATGATATAATATTTTCCAGACTACTAACTTCTGTCTGATGTTTGTTTTGAAACACAGTTTTCCTTGTTCCTTGTTTCATACCATCTGAGATACAGCTGACTTTGTGGATGAAGTGACTACTGAGAAAATTAAAAGTAAAACTGAGAAAATCCCAGATCCTGTGTGATGTTACCTAACAAGAACATGAGTCAACCTAATCAGTTACAAGAATTTATTGTCAATTTTGTATCTTTTAAAATCGGTTCTGTAGATTGGCAGGAAATATTAATCAAAACACCAGCATTTTAAAAGTTCTTTCAAGAAGGATACTAAAGACTGTGCAAAAAGTAAGCTGTAATAATAAAAGGACAAAGTGCACTAGTTTTTAAACACATGAAGCTGAACCCCAGCAAAAGGAAGCACACAAGTAATGAGGCTGTTCAATCTAATGTTGTGGGGCAGCATCTGAAAGAAAATATTTTATATGAGGTAGTAAAGCACCCAAACAAAGTTGTCTCAGAAATTACTGATTTAAAAAAAAAAAAAATTAAGTTAATCCATTTCAAAATGGATTAATGCAGAATACAAAGGCAGATTCTTCTGGGGGAAAAGGTACCCAGGTTGATAGTTACAGAAGAAGAAAGTTAACTTCTTCGGCCTCTCAATTCATAGGTAAGGACAATATCCTTTTCATAATCTACTAGTTTACTTATGTGTGCAGGATTACTCCCTTAAGTGTGCAATGTCAGGAACCTCTCCGATCAATGATAAATACAAACATTTTTAAGCTCTTAGCTGCAAGTGACAGATGCCTCCATCTGCTTCTAAACTTTTAAAAACTATTTCAAATATCAAACACAATTATGAGAAAAACAGAAAATATTCTTCAAAGAACAGCTTTTTTTAAAAGTTAATGTGTCTGCCCTGATTAATCACAAGCTGAAAGGAGTACTTGATGACTAGTGTATACTTCAGTTAACACTATTTCATAAAACCTGGCTTGACAGAGGTATAAGATAAATTAATCAAATAATAGAAAAGTTGAAAGATGCACCAGCTGGCTCATACTCAAGAAGAAATACATCACCTCTGAAGAGTAAGAAAGACTGCAGTAAAGCAACTGACCAAATGGGCAGCACAGTACAGTGTCAAGCCATTTTCATGTGTTATTGACTTGCTTTACAACACAGTTCTTGACAGAGAGACTACTTGCACATTTCAAATAAACATATGCTATTTTGGATGACACTGATGGATACTACACTGTGGATCATAAAGCTCTAAAGACTCATTCTTACAGTTTAAGGTCAAGGACTCTCATAATGAATGAATATTATGATATTGAATGTCTAAGACTCACAGCCACTGTGCTGCCTGTTTGGTTTGCATCTTATCAGAGCTTTATATGAAGGCACAATTTGTAATGCCAAGTTAAAAGCTATTCTCAAATAAGAAACTGTGTCCCTTAAAAAAAGATCACAGTGAATAAGTGAATATTATTTGTTTCTCTCAGAAATAGTGTGCTTGCTTGTTCTTTATAGTATCACAGTAAAGTCACTTCCTTATAACATTTGAAAATGAGCCAAACACCATAGAAGAGATGTTTTTGTTTAGCATCAAATTCTTAAGCTCATGTGTCTCTAATCAAAAGGCAATGCCTGTGACATAATGAACCAAATGAAAAAGAGTTTACAAAGTGCTAAAGCTAAAGAATGGTTTAAAGAATATTCAATTATTGACAAAAGGTGCTAAGCAAAGCCTGGCTGGGGATGGAAGTATTCTATTCAGTACCCACAGGGCTCAAATGACTTCCAGTGACAAGAGTGAATTGAAATCAGTAACACTTCTGACATAAGAATGTGATCAGAAATATATACATCTCTTTAACCATGTGAAGTGCAGAATACTACCCTGTATTTTAGATAAACCACAAATCTACAATCTTTTCCATACCAAAATCTGATATGAACAAATTAAAAAACAAAAGGGGGGAGGGGGAAGATTTTCACTACAGAGAAAGCTTCTACATCAAGGCTTCAAGGCTGGTAATAACAAAAGTAGATTCTGACATTTGTCTGTGGGCTAAAGAGCAAGAACCTATACACAAAACAAAACACATTGACTAACCCACTGCCATTGTTCCAATCATGTTACTTCCATATTTGTAATGTACAGATTATTTCCACACAATTTCAGCTTTAGGTTCCTAACGTTTTATAAATACATATATACAAAAGAAAGTATAGCACTGAATTTAGTTCTGTCCTTAGACTGAACGTTGGTAACTCTATAAGCTGGAGCTAATAACTAAGAACTTCTCAACTTCCTTAGCTAAAATGTGATCTAAATAATCTGTTTCTCCATACTTCAAGAATGAAAAGCATGATCCCAAACTATTAAACAGAAGTCTCCCAACTGCCTTTTCCTTATTCTAATGTTTACCTTGCATAACAAGCTACCTGTGAAACCCTCTCTCTAGCTTAACTGACAGAGTTGTCTGTACACAACCTTCGAACAATTAATTCCACTCAACTCTTCTAATTGTAGAGGAATACTTCAAAGTTATTGACTCAGGTCTTACAGTAACCAGCTGCAAAACTTATTACCAGAAGGTAGTACAGAAGTCTGTTCCTCATTTCAGTAAAAAGAAACTAAACCCTATGAATAGAATAGGCTTGTCCTTTTTTACTGACTTTATCCTTTGTTGCACCAACAGTTTAATAAGCTCTGTGAGCTTTTTTCTTTTAAACTTTGCAATAGTAATTACAGTATACAACACACTCTTTTATCCCCTGTTACTTAATTTGCACCCACCACCTTTATTTTCAGAGATTCTGGATGACTGACTATGGAAATACAGATGCACCAAACTATTTGGTGTTGTTTTCTTTGCAACTGCCATCAGAGAACCATGGAGGAGACTGACCAATGAAGTGCTCCCCTGTGAGCAGCGGGAATAAAGTTATGCCTGTGACTGTGTAAGTCTTTCCCACAGTGGGCCCTGTTAGAGCCACTGGCAGCTAATCATTAGCATAGTGGCATTAACACCAAATGAAGACATTGGTGGAACAGAGAACAGTTCTTCAGTCTCAAGCAAGGCTGGGTGGCAGAGAGACAGAGCTGCTCAAAGGTGACCCAGGATATTAATGAAGAGAACTCAATTTACTGTATAACTCTCAGGTTAGTGAGTGGTAAATTAGGGAAACTCCATGATTAAATGACTTCTGAGTAGAAGTTTTCTGGATAATAATTTTGGTTGAAAGTATTGAAGGTCTGCCTAAATTCCTTTTCAGAGCTCAGGTTCTCATCTACATCTAGGCTAAAACAATATCTTTGGTCTCAAATTATGCTGCTGAAGAACAGAATTTGTATGATGTCTTGAAAATATAAAAGCCTCAGCTATGCAGCTGAATGACTCTTCAGCCCAGTCATTAGAGAAACATATCTGTCTTAAACATTGGGGTTACTTTCACTATTACAAGGAAGTAAATAGTTGTTTGCATCGTGTCTCCCCACCAGCAAGAAAATTATTTGCTCCATAACAGAGAAAAAGTTATCTTCACATTATATTTCCATTCTATGAAAAGGTTTGTTATTTTGAGAACAAGATTATGTTTGTATGAAAAAAAAAGAAAAAAAGACTCTGACATCTCATCATGCCCTACAACTGAATCACTATTGTCAAAATATTGTTATGGTGTCTCTTGCCTCAGCGACCATGTTCCCCCTCTGTACCCTGCTAAAAACTGCATGCTCTACCAGTATCCAAAGACTAAAATTCACAGATCCTGGTCCTACCATATCAGCTACATCTATCATACCTTTGATCTGATGTTCCCATATCTCAGCTGGCACCTCAGACATTTGGAGCTGCAGACATGCCGCGGTTGCACCTTCCAGCTCCTTTGTGCTTTCCTTCTTGAACTATCCATAAATTAAATAACAGGCATATAAGAATTATTTAGACACATGCAATTCCTATTCAGTAATTGAACAAAGTATTATGTCTCACACTACAAAAAGCCAGACAATTAAAGCAATAGAGGGTTGCTGAGCACACTACACTTGACATTCAGGAAACTAGTATGTTTCCATACGCTGTTAATCCTACTGAGTCTTCTCATTTTCACTAATGCACTAATACAAAGCTCCGTGCATCTCCATACTACAGACCAAATTTATGTAATAGAATTGGAGTACAGCATGGGTCATCTGTTTGCTGTTCTTGAATAAGAATAGCACATTCAGGTATCTTCTATCAAATCTACTTAAGTTTTTTTATTACAGTGTTCAGCTTCATACTGGTTCAGTTTTCTATGCTCCACCTTGCATCAAATTATTTGGAAAGTTTAAACCAGAATGGTTGCACTTTCAAAAAAATGTATTTAAGTAGAAAGACAAGGGGTTTTCCTCACATGAAGAAAAACTTACATTTACTTTGTTGAGAAACTATTACCTTCATGCTTTATTATCTGAAATTAAGCAGAAGGATGGCCCCAGCATAATACCCGAGTATCTTCTGATGTACATGTCAGAAAAGGATTTGAGGAAGAGAAAGAAGTAGGGTAGAGAGAGAAGATGAGAGAGAACAGAATTAAGGAATATGTAGAACAAGAACAAAAGTTGAGGGCATATAAGGTCATGTGAAAGATGCAGGAGGAGAGAGAAGAACAATAGTGGTGGTGGCAGAGGAAAGAATAACAGAGGGCAAGAATTCTTAAAGAAGATGGTTTAGGGTTAGCAGAGAAAATAAATCTTTTTATACAATACTGTATGGTATAAACATTCACTTACAGCCCTCATTTCTTTTCTAGCCAAAAGACTACTTCTTGACTACTTTGAGCTAGGATTTTCTTCTTGTTTCTTTCATGGTTGAATGAAAAAAAGAAATCTGGAGCCTAAGAGAGACCTGCCTTAGCACTTCGGTTCTATTTTGGCAGGTGAGAAAGCTCAACAATTTGGAAACAGTAAAAACAAACCCAACCCCGAAATACTTAGGACTTTGGATACGCATCGCAGCATGCACTGCCACCTGGAGGCAAAAAGTTCCAAGTACAGCTAAAAGCTAAGATCACGTTTCAAAAGGAAAACTCTTTTACCCCTACATTAATTTTACTTCAGATAGCTAGTATTTCTATTGAGTTTTCCCTGATGAAAATCTGTTAAGACACTGAAAAGACAGTCTTTTTAAAAAGGACATGGACTCCCATTTTTAAAGGACATTTATTATATGTTGCAAAAAGTGGTGAAGACCTTTGTAACTGTACAAATTGCACATTTCAGTGATTATACCATTCAGTGCACAAAACCCACCTGAATGGTGTCCGTTTTCATGAGAGTTTAGAGATTAGGGTGACAGGCACCTATCTTTAAACAAGAAAAGGCAAACATTAGTTCAAGTGCAAACCTACAGAGTAGAATGAAGATATGCCCATAGCACAGACAGGCAAGTGGAAAACACTGCAGTTCAAGTTTCAGATGGGCTTAAAGTTCTTGTGGGTATGTTCTCTACTCAGTATCCTATGCTTTTGTATCTGCCACTAGATTAAAACCAGGCCTGTGCTCTGGTCATACCTCTGCGTCACTCTGAAAACATATCTATGGTCCTGACAGAGGATGACCTGACATAACAAACTGACTACCATAATTCACAATGTTGCACAAACAAAAACTTAAATCCACTGTTACTTATGCAGAAGAACCTTGTCACCAAATAACCTACACAATAAGTGTATCAAACACAGCTATACTACATGGATCTGAACCTAACAGTATAATCTAGTCCACAATCAAGTAAAGAGAAATTTGCTCTGATCTTCAGTGAGCATTTCTTAGGTTTGCAGGCTCCCAGTATAGAACTTCATGCTCAGATACTAGTTAAGTTCTTTCAGATGAGACGCTGTAATTCAGACATGAACGACAGACAGGGCACTATTTATTATTTGGTAATGACTTTGTACATTTTTATTTTCAGTAAGTTTTCCTGAGAAGCGCTCTGTGTTACTCAAAGCTTAGACAAGTTTGGGCTTTAAGCTAAAAGTTTGTGATTACGCAAGCTAACACTTTGAACCTAGACTCTGACTTTTAATCTACAGACTCAAGCAGCTTCAGAAATATTAATTTAGCTTCATGACATCCCAATGAGATATAAATTATTGTATTTGTATTATCTAAGAGAAAACTCCAGGCAATAACTATAATATATTACTGGGCTTGACTGCAAGTCCCCTAAGGATGTTTACCAATTACATTCTTGTCTTCATTGTTCCTCTTCTATTTCTGTCTTTTATACTAAAAAAAAAGAAAGAAAGAAACAATTATTTGTGGGAAAGAGCACATAACTAAAGTAACAGTTCACACTGACAAGGATTTACAACCCTCTTCATGATCTACATAAAATTATCTCAGTTTCCTTTAAGTTAGATTGAAATTTGATAGGCTTTTCCTCTACAATATAAAATAATGCTTCTTGGCAGGCACCGTGAATCTGATCCTCCTCTCACACAGTTCAATTACCAGTTTTCCAATGAAGCAGGCTACAACCTCTGTAGCAGAATCAGAATGAGGCTTTTCTTAATTGCAGGAAGAACAAAATCAGATTCAGGCATGGACAGTTATTTACTACGCTGTAACTGCTGGGATTTGGCTACTGCTATAATTTTATAATCTATGACTAATCTGTGCTTGCTCCTGTAACAATTCTCATTTGGATTTCATGGACTGGCAGAGAGGACTTAACAGTCATTTAGTAAATTAAATCACAGATATTTAGAGCAAGCTGAACTTTTGGCTTGTTTCATTATACTCTGAGAAATCCATGTTAACATATCATGCTCCTCAACTAGATTTAAATCCAAGGAAGTACAGGCGACTCTCAGCTGTCTAATGGTAAACAATCCTAATTCTTTTACCTAAGAAACCAGCTTGAGTGGTATTTTCCAGTGCTGTGATAGTAAAGAGGCATATCCACTGGGTGATAACTATGGCAAAAGTAAACCAATTGCCACAATTTTGCCACTATGTTGTCTAACGCTGCTCTGCGCAGCCACAGGCAAGATCTGAGGAAAAAAAAACCTGGGAGTTTAAACTGACTAAGAGAGGATAGAATCCTGTTAGGAAAGCAGCTGATGCATATCAACAAACTGTGGCTTGCAAAATATTGTAGGTTTGGGTTTTTTTTTTTTTTCTATAATAGAGTTATACTAGCTACCACTGCTGAAATTTACTAGAATTCTTCACGGAAACAAAGATTTATAGAGAGACCAACTTAAAGCATCATTGGTTCTAAAAAATACACTTAAGTTTATATTGACAAAGAAGAATTTTTAAACAAGAACTATCACAATCATAAATCCCTAGTGGCTAGGTATTTCCTTTCACCCAGACACTTCAACATCCAGGACAATGGAACAGTTTGCTGTTCCTAACTTGCTTTTGGATGTCGTCTTCTTTGATCTGAACTGAGAGAGCTCAAAACTTAGGCAACCTGATGCACTTACTTTATTCATGACCCAGTCAGCATCTTCAATGGCTCTCTTAATAATCTGCTGGATTCGCTCAGGATTGTCTTCATCGGCATGAACTTTGAAACTCTGCAACATTCAATGAAAGTGTTACCCTGACTAGCCAACTGAACACAGCAGTTGTCAAAATAAGGATCACTTAAAACTGAAAGAAAATATTTGATGCAAACAAACTGTTGATCTGAAAAGATAAAAATATACATTGTAGCACCTGGCTGTGCTATTTCCATAACAAATCTTGTCAAATATAATTTCACATTAAGTATTTCACTATTTTCATACATCATCAACAAAAAAACCCCAGAGAACTTCAATTCAGAACAACAAATGAAATCATCTGGTATGTTAAAACCAGAAAGACCCAGGACAACAGGTATGATCAAAGGCATGAAATTACTTCCATATGAACAATTAGATGAGATTTATCCAACTGGGGAGGGGGTGGGATATATATATTAAAAAATGACTGACAAGGAACCAGTAAGTTTCACCATAAAAGATGTGTTTAGGTGAGTAAAGAATGATTGTTCACTCTCTTGACTAACATAAGAATTAGAAATGAAAGCCAAGCAAAATAGAAGATTTCAGATTCAAACAAAAAGAAATGCTCCTTCTCATACTCCCAGTATAATCCTTCAAATCCACTAACGTTTCAAGCTTGGAGAATAATAATTTAAGTGCCAGGAGTTATAAAGAGTTGGTCCAAACTGTAGGAGGAAAAAAACAAAACCAAAAACCACCCCGTAACACTGAATTCCACCAACAGAAAAGAAATCTGCTTCTCACCTGCCTGACTGCATGTCTGTAATGCTGACGAATATTCTCTTCAGGAAGTTGCTTACAGCATCGAAGCAGGTAACGATATAACTGCAAAGAGTTCTGAACTAATTCAGCATTCGGTAGTGGGGCCATTATCAAGCTTTTTAGCTGTTGAAAATAAGACACACAAATCAAAATACCTAATGAATTTTATTAGAAACACAGAAATAAAAGTGTGAAGTAATTTTACAACAATGAAAACAGGCCCAGCAAATTAAGATTTAGCAGCATAACTTGAAGAAACTTTAGAAGAAAACACAATATGAAATTAATCAGAACATGCTTAGCTTATGGACAGATAGGGGTTAGTTATCATTAATCAAGGTATTAAAATACAGAAGTGTGCAGTTCATGCAAGAAGATCACTTTATGATGGTAATATTAAGGTGCATTGCAATATTAAATATTTTCTAGTTTAAAAATACACCCACGGTGTAAGCTGCTATAAGTATACAAAGCAGTATCGCAGCCCTGAGGGAGTTTTCTACTTGATAAGCCATGATTCTTAGATTCATTCAAGCTTCCAGTGCTTTCCTTGAGCATCCATAAGAGTCCACCCACATGGTGACATTGTAGAATGAGGACGCTCATAATTGCTACAAGTGGTGCTGAAATTTAACAATATTTCCTAGTACTGTCATTCTCTCAATAATATCTTGTGAACTGGCCTATGAATGTCAGGCTTTAACTTGAAATAACTTCTATAAATATAGGAGAAGACAGGCAAAAATATTCATCGGTTTGAAATTTTCCTTTTTTTTTTTTTTTTGGTAACAGCAACAGAAAAAGAACAAATCTAACAAATTTCACTTCCATAACTATACTTACATAGTGTAACAATAAGTCTATCCAAGCTATATAAAGTGCTAATCAAATAGCGTAAATGACTTGTCATTTACCAGATGGTTACCATCTGCAAAGAACTAAATTAACATTTGGAAAAAAGTACTTTTACATCATTACTCTTAAGAATAAAGATAATAAATAAGTAACTGAATAACAAAGTAGGTGTATGGCATTATATTAGCACCCGTTATGATACTTACTCATCATTTGGAATTTTTTTTCCTTTTTTTAAAGTAATTTAAGTCCTTTGGCCAAATTTATTTCAGAATAGAATACCACAGCTATTGCATGCCTGGGCTGTATATTTGCATAGACTAGCTCTTCTTGCAGTGGGGAAAATCTCCTCACTATGTACCTATAAAATGCCTGTTGTAATGGGATATGTACTATCATAATCTGTATTTTCAGTAAAACAAAATTCCATCTTGGTCTATAACTAAGTAGATATAAATTAGCATACCTCTATAGCAGTAACAAGAGCTATGCCGATTTGCAGTAGCAGAGGTCACTAAAAGCCTTTAATGTGTTAGGCACAAAAAGTATGTTTCTTCTATGTGAGGAAAATTAAAGAATTCTATGACAAAAATGCAGAGTATGTCTTATTCTTGAGGGAAGGGCCTCTACAACACTGCTTGACTCATGGCAGAAACCCACAGTACAAAGTCATATCTGAGCACCCCATGGTATTGGTGTTTTTTTCTGTTCATTACTGAAAGATTGGGTGAAATCTATGCTATATTGATTTTTTTAATCTATCTTTTGTCAAAAGTAACACCTTGTAAAACGAGATGGAGCTGCTCCTGTGGCAGAGCTTCTTGTCTACGGGAAATGTGTGAGAAAGAGCCTTGCAATATTAGCATTATTATCTGTATTGGAATTGTGCCTATACTCTTCAGCCAAGGATTTAGGCTCTATCATGGTAGGTACTATCTATACATACATATCTAATGGAAAAGCTTCTGCCACAAAGAATTTACAAGGCAGACTAACGACAAGTCATAAGATGAGGCAGCATAAGGCAGATGAGCCAAACAGGTGGGATGGGAATGGGGAGGAGGTGACAGTAATATAAGCCTGTTTTTGTGTAGACTAATAGAGCACACAATAGAGCTCACCACCTGCTTGGCTCATATCAACAAGCAAGTTTTATAACATTATTTTTTTAAGGACCTGCAGAAACATAGTGAGTCATGGCTGATGGGTGTTATGGAAGCCCCTAAGAAAGGCTCTGATGACACTTCAGGAAAAGCTTTTCTAGCCTCTGAGGAAAAAAGATGACTGTCTTAAGGAAGTACTTAACAGGGTTATTATCTCATGAGCTGATGATGTAAATTATTAAAACTAATTCTAAGATATACCATAGGCTTAATAGGCATAAACCTTTGAAGAACATATGTCAGGATCCCTTTCCTGCTTGCTTATACTAACATCTTTCCTTACATCTGAAATGAGTTCTGTGTAGTTAATTTGTGACTTTACTCGAAAACACTTTAGCAACACTTTCAACAAGCAAAGCCCTTTCCCCAAAGTATTGGGGTATATAGATTTACAACAAACAGTACTCCAAAACAAATGCTGATCAAAGTGACTAACTCCCTAGTGAAAAACACCCATAAAAGTTACAAAAATCCCAATTTGACATTCATTACCAATATCCCACATTTTTTGTGATTGCAGTGAGCTGAAGGATCTGTCTATGGTGCTGTTTACCTTGATTCTGTTACTAACATTACAAAAAAAAAAAAACCAAAAAACCAACCAACCAAAAAAAGGCAGTTGGACCCCAAGCTCTGTAAACACCACTATAATGGGTGCGATAACTTTCCATTGGAGCTAATACAACACAGCTGGTGAACTACCTGCATAAGATTCAGCTTGGTCACTTCCTTAATTAATCATAGGTTAATGACTACCTATTCAGTGTATTTTGGAAAGAAAAGCAGACAAAGCCCGTTCCCAAGATGGATAGAGGGGTTATGCCAACGTCAAATATGGCAATTGGAAATCCTGTTTTGTATTGTGCTGGTAGTGCCCCATCCAGTGCAAGAAGGACTGATACACATCACAAAGACAAAAGGTGGATCAAATTTAACATTTAAGATAGTAACTGTGATTTGGTTGTTATTACTAAAGTCTGGAATAAAGATCTTAGGGATTCAAATGGTACAACATTTAGGAAAGATTCCATGGATAAAACGCAGAAAGTGGCATTTCTGATTTTTAGTTACAGACAACTCAGAAGTAGATGATGTTGACTGGAGTAAGTTCTCAAACACCCCCTACTCTCAACACGGTTGAGTGCGATATCATGATGTCTTGTGGGCATGAAAATCTTAATTAGTTTGTTCCTGGATTCTGTCATCCTAACCTTTACCCTCTGCCAGTTATCCACTCCTCCCAAAATTGACATGCCATAATGAAGGTAAATCTGCACCAGCCTCTGACAGGTCAGTGATGTGCCAATAAAGCTCACTCACCCCTGAAGAGTCCCATCTTTCTCTAGTATCTAAAACTGACCAGTGGTTTCTCTGCACTTTGAGCTTCATGGGGTGTATCTGCTTTTGAATACTTGATATGTTCTATCAGTAAAGTATAAGAGATGAGGTAAGACTTCACAATGATCCCTACTGAGAATTATTCACAGCCAAAATATGGTTTCCATTAGCTTTCACGAACAATTAGAAAACCATTCCTCCATCATAAGGGCAATAAGTTGGCTCTATACTGCTGCTGCAATCTTTTCATTCTGCTTGCTTGATTCCAGTTCTGTTTTTTCATATTTGTTTAATAAAAGCCATTCGGCCTCACACACTACAGGAATTGGATACTGTCCAAAAAAACCCCATATGTAGGGCCAAAAGATGTTGCAAAAATTCAGAAATATAGACCAAGAAATGACTTTTCAAAATGGCTTCAGTCTGACTAGTCCAATTGCTAGCTCACTTTCCAAGCACACAAGATGTGCTAACTAAGGCTTTACCTAAAAAGTTCAGCTTAAAATACAGATCAGTGTACCCCCAAGCTTCAAAATGTTTATCTCTTGTTTTCTTCCAATCTTTTTTCTTTAAAATATCATTTTCTCTTTGCAATGAAACTTATGCTGGGCATCAGCTTCATGCATTTCTTTGGGTTGGATTCATTTCACTTTGGCATTTGAGTACAGGAGGTGATTATATACTCGATAGTCAGTAGAGAGATCCCTGCATTCCCCCTCCAACCAGTAGAAAGATAAGCAACCCCAAAATATGACTCAAATACTATACAGACTGAATTACTCCCTGCCGTTCTCTCCACTGAGCAGAGAAGGAGTAGCAAAACGAGAATTATAGATCCTGCAGTTACAAGCCTAAATTAGGTAGGATGATTCCAAGTAGGTGTCCTATTTTGAAAACAGAAATATAAACATAGAATGGTTTGGGTTGGAAGGGACCTTTAAAGGTCATCTAGTCCAATCCCCTTGCCATGGGCAGGGACATCTTTCAGTAGATCAGGTTGCTCAAAGCCCCATCTGACCTGATAGAGCTTTGAACACTTCCAATGATGGGGCAATAATATAATATCAAATAACATCAAATATAATAAAAGAGTTTGTTTCAGAGTGGCTCTCAGTTTTGTTTTGGTATACTGGACCCCTCATGGTATAACACACCATCTGACTTACTTTCCAAGTGTTGAAGGCCTCAACAAGTACCTCAAGCAGGTATATGTACATGTTATTTTTCCAACTGTAACATGGGGTCAATCCTAGGGCTTCTCTTCCAGCAGAGAGTGCTGAGGGTGTATTTCCAGCATTCACCTTTCACTACACCCTTGATATTCTCAGCACTAACTTTCTTCCTTGACTTCTTTTCTAAAGTTGTTTTCTTAGGAACCCTTCTAATACAAATGGACTTTCAAAATAGATTCTGGTACACTCCTACAGTTTCTTCCTAGCACTGAGTTCAGTGATATCTCTGTATACCCACACTGCATGCCAGTGAGAACACAAATGAAACTTTGCAAATCATCTTGTTTTGTTACGCAAATGCCTTTGCTTTTGCTCTCCTGCTTAGAATATTTAGTTTCACCTGATACCTGGCTCTTTCTCCCCTACTGTTTAAAATGAACTTTCAGTGTTCAACTGGTATTACCTTTTTAATTAAAATATTTTGGGGTTGCCAATTTACACCATATGTTGTAAGAAACATTTACTATAGAAACATCATGCTAAATCCCTTCCTTCGGTTTTCTCCTGGCATTTAGTCCTGCAGGTGACAAAACTG